CAAGCCATGGAGCAGCTACAGACAGCACTGACTACAGCACCAATACTCATCCCACCAGATCCAGACAAAGACTACGTGGTGGATGCAGATGCTAGTCACCAGGCATTCGGAGCACTACTGATGCAGGATCATGGACGCGGTTTGAAGCCCATCGCCTAACTCAGTAAAGAAGCTATGTGGAACAGAACTGAATTACCCAATCCATGACAAGGAAGCCTTAGCAAAAGTCACGGCCTTCAAGGCGTGGAGGTGTTACCTAAAGGAAGCCAAGAATACAGTCTACTGTTGAGAACAAAGTTGGATTTGGCTTAGAAGCCATAGTTTAGGAGTGAGTTTGGTGATCGAGTTGTGGGGTGTAAGGAAAATGTCGAGAGATTTTAGAAGGAGAATGTTGAAACAAGAAAGGAGGGGGATACAAGTAGTAAGCCCTAAAAGGGTTATACTCACTTTTGAGTACTCCACTACAGACTAGACATGCATTATAATCTGACATCTACACTGGCCACTGCAGTAACAAGTATCTAATTTGCAGCCTACGCTGTCAAGACGACAGGTGCGGTGGATGGACTTCCTGGAAACTCACTTCCACTACGACATTGTCTAGCAAAAAAAAATCTATTGGCCCTGGATGGCAGCAGACGTGCAGCAGCTTGTCGCCTCATGCGACACGTGCTAGCGGATGAAGAGTAGCGAGCAGAAAAGGGCAGGGTTACTTCAGCCTCTACCCGTACCGGAGCAGCCATGGCAAGTCGTTAGCCTAGACTTCATCACGGGGCTTCCTTTGACCTCACGAGGGCATGACGCTATACTTGTGGTGATCGAAAAGTTCCCAAAAATGTGACACTTCATCCCGACCAACGCCACGGCTACAGCTAAAGCAACAGATCGCCTCTTCTTCGACGACATCACCACTATCCATGGCATCCAAGCTACAGTCATCTCAGACAGAGACCCAAAGTTCACAAGTAAGTTCTGGAGGGAACTCATGGGATTTTTGGGGAGAAAACTTGCAATGTCTTCAGCATACCTCCCCCAGATTGACAAACAGACAGAGCACTCTATCAGGTGGTTGAACATTTACTGCGTAGAGCTTGCAAAGACAACATTAGCCACTGGGATCTATAGTTACACACTTACAACGACGCATCATATGCGGCAACATGGAAGTCTCCATTCTTTCTGTGCTACGGATGGGAACCACTTATACCACAGTAGCCAACTACACCAGCACACGTCCAAGCCGCACATGACTTTGTTACCACCATGCAAAAGCTATGGGAGAGGACTCAGCGACGTCTCACTTCGATGCAGAACTCCCAAAAGCAGTATGCCAATCAACAGCCACGAGATCACTTAGTAGCAATCGGAGATAAGATGCTTCTTTACACACGCAACTTGGACTTGTCTCATCTTCCTTCCAAGCTCCAGCTCGGTCATGTGGTCCTTTTTGCAATGAGGAACGGTGACACCAGTAACATTTCGCTTGTATTTACCATCTATGTGGAAGCTTCAGAAGGCTTTCCATGTTCAGCTACTGAAGCCCTACAAAGACCCCAACCAATAGTTCCAGGGACGCCAGCTACCGTTACCGCCACACGTTCTCGTACAAAATGAACCAGAGTACGAGGTGGAACGAGTTCTCGCTCATCGACGCAGACATGGCAACACGTTCGAGTTTCTGATACGCTGGAAGGGATACGACCCGTTGTAGGATAGTTGGGTTGTAGAAGCTGATATGGGCAACGCACGTCATGCTCTCAGGGATTATCTTGTCAAGTAGGGTGTTTCTCACGCCACCCAGCTTTAAGGGGGGGGCGTGTGAGAGTACGACGGCGTATGCTTGCTTTGCTAGCTTGCCTTGCCTTCATTATGCTGCTTCTAGCTTAGCTTCATTTTATCTTGCATGCTTTTGCTCAATTTCCTAGGTTTGTTGCTTTCCTAAATGTATGATAGTTTTAGGCACCGAACTTGGTTGAGTGCATCGAGTTCAAGGCTTTTCGGTTGCCTCCGAATCGCCTTCTACCGAATTCAGAAAGGACCCGTTCGAGATGCTTCATGACCCGCGGAACCTTCTAGTAACACCCGGGTGCCTTTGTGTCGAGCCTATATATAGCCTCGTCTTGTACCCAGATGATCATATTGTAATTTCTGAACCAGTTCCTTTGATCCTCCCACTTCCCCCCCTTCTTACCTCCCTTGCCTCTAATCCGCCCACTAGTGATGGAGACGATTGCAGTCATGTCAGAAGCAGGAGACGCAATAGACAAAAGAGAAGTAGTGTAGGTGGGGAGCTATGGGACTGTACACCTCTGAAAGAGCGGGGGAACTACTGCAGTAGTAGCAAAGGCAATAGAGCGGATGTCACTCTCGATACCCTTGAGAGCTGCCGCAAGGATGTTGATAATGAGCACTCTAGGGTGCTTCCAAAGAACCGCATCGCATACACGTGCAAGACGATCTTGGAGGCTAGAGACTCCGAAGTGCAGTGTGACGTGCATATGCTTGGTAGCTAGCATCTAGTGAGTGGAGGTGGGTGACGAGGTCAGCAGTACAGTCATTCTCCAAGGTCGGGAAACAGAATCGGCATGAAGACACAACAAAGAGAGGCAGAGGAGGGAGTGGAGTAGTGGGACTTGATCGCATCGAAAGAAATTCTTCTGAAGGGGCCCCAAACCTGGCTGAAGTGGGCTCCCTCTGTCTCAGATAGAAAGCTGCCAAGAACAATACAAGCTGTAGCGTCACGAGAATGCCACACCAGACTGATAGAGATGCACAGCACAAGGCAAAGCGCTCCCGGTCCTTGGCAGTAAGCTCATCAGGCAGGTCAGCAAGGGGCTCGGGTGAAGCCAGGTCACGTGCCCAGAGCGTGTTACCGTCCTTGCACTGGCTCTTGAGGTACAGCATGGTGTGCAGTAGCCAGGTGAGGAACTCTAGTGCTCTACCCTCCGCGTCGAAACATACCACCCAAGAACACCTTCCACAATACCAGAGGCCCTACTTTTGCCAGCTGAAGACGGCCAAAGCACTATATGACGCTGTAGGCAAGCACTACTCCTCCCCCTCTTCTACTGCCTTAAGTCGTCTAGCACCGGTGTTCCTCTTCCCTAGGCTAGCAGACTTTTCCACTGTAGCCGACCTCATTGCTCACCTCTGCTCCCTTGTCACGCGCTACCGTACTGCTCTCCCGCCAGAGTTTCTTCCGACAAAACAGACCCCTTCGTATCTCACTCTCTCATTCCTTACAACTCGCCTCCTTGACTTCGTGCGCACCGTTCAAGACTACTTTCTCTCCCTAGATCTCACTGAGATCACCCTTGCCTTGTTTGAGTCCCCTCTCCTCAAGGCTGAGACCACCACCCACGGTGTAGCTGCCTCCCGTGGCACTCCCCTCCCCTCCTTTTTTTAGGGTGCTCCCCCTCCCTCCTCTTGCATATTGTTGCCTCTGCTGCTGCTGTTGACTTCCATAGAGCTGAGGAGGTTGGTGCTGCGTCTACCCTTAGCGGGAGGCGCCGCGGCGGCAAGGGTGCGCGTACTTAGGGTGGGGACGGTGGGGGTGGTGGAGGGGGCGCTAGTGGTGGCAGTGGTGGTGGTGGGGGTGGGGGAGGTGGAGGTGGCAGTGGAGGTGGCAGTGGAGTTGGCGGGGGTGGTGGGTCAGTGAGGATGGTGGGGGTGGTGGAGGGGGCACGAGTGGTGGTCGGGGTGGAGCTGGTGGGGGTGGAGGCTCGAATACGGCTAATAGAGGAGCTGCGTCTGGTAGTGCAGCTGGTGGAGGCGGAGGTTCAGGGGTGGGCAGCAGCAGCAGTAGTGTCAGTAGGAGATTCTCTCGCAGAAGCAGCTTCGTGAGTGGGCTGCCCAACGAGGCGGCCCTAGAGACGGAGATCGCTACCAACACCGTCGCCGCACAGGCCACCCTAGAGAGGTCTGCGGGAGCCTTGAGCACACTGAGGCTCGCTGCTTCTACCGCCTTGACGACGCCTTTCGAGAGAAGTTTGGTGAGTAGCACAAGACTCCCAACTAGTTAGGATTGCTCAAGAAGAGCGTAAAATTGTTTTCTCTTGAATGGGATCGGATCTGTGCTTGCATGTATGCTATGTCGGATGCTGGAGCTAGTGCTGGGGGTGACTATTGTTCTTGTGTACCTAGATCTGGTAGTGTAGAGGTTGTTAGTGTAGGTGCTTATGAGTCTGCTAGCATAGGTGCGGTTTTTGTGGAGGCTTTTCACACCTTCACGCTAGGCTCAGGCGCGTCTCGCTGCTTTTTTTCCCGCGACAGCACCACACTCACACCGCTCACAGCACATGTCCTTGTCACCCTGGCCGACCCGTCCTCTGACAGAGTCGATCCACTGTTCTCCCGTGTCCAGCAGCCCCTTTTGGCTCCCACAGATATCCAACTCCTTTCATTCGCTACGAACTTGGTGAGTACCTGCTGTGGCTGTTGCTGTTGTAGCTACTACTGCTATGGTGGCTGCTGCTGGGCTCCCGGACAACTAGTCGGGGCAACAACTCCACCTGTCGGGCTCGGCTGTCCAATACCACCTCCAAGGTCTCCTCCTCTAGGGGCACCAGTACCGCCTCCGCTGCCACTGATGCCACCCACTTAGCCTATGATTGTATATCAAATATCAAATATAGCTACTGTCATTGCCCGAATATAAGACAGTGTTGAATAGAAGACAAGGGGTGTCTACTAAACAGGTGTCTCTTATAAACGGGTGTTCCTCATTATAAGACACCTACACATGTGTACGACTTAAGACACTATTTTGTAATCAGAACAAGGGTTTAGGGGTTATCTTATAAAGGGGGAGTGTCTTCTAAACGATCCTTATCTCCTTATGGGGGGTACATGCATGTACAGTCATGAATTTCTACTTTTACTACCTAGTCCCCCTCCGTCACGGCCTCCTCATCTGCACTAACCTCACGCTCCCTACCACCCAAGTCTAGCACTGGCCAGGCATGCCTAGCCATCTGCCTTGGCTCGATCATGCGGTCAGCCTAGGCCGCCGCTCCGCGGTAGTTGGGGGTCTCCTGGTACAGCACCTCCAGGCCGGTTGCCATGGCCACCTTCCTGACGCCCTCCGCATGTATCTCCTCCTCCTCCTCCTCCTCCTCCTCCTCCTCCTCCTCCTCCTCCTCCTCAAGAGCCTGCCCAAGCAGGCGCGTGTTGTCGTCCGTGGTCCCCCCGAGGGTCATGTCCTCATAGACATAAGTGGTGCTCCTCGCGCACAGGTGAGACATCACGAGGTGGTTCTCCGTCCTGTCCAGCTTGCTTGAAATCCCATAGCGGTGGAACACGTCAATGATGACCTGCTTGGGGACTTGATCCCACGCCTCCGCAATCCACTGCAGCACCACGGGGTGCAGAGGCCTCTGCAGGTTCTCTGAGGGTGGGACAAAGGCAGGAACAGCACGCCGTTGGAGACATGGAGGTGTAACAGGACATGAAAGGGTAACAACGTTGAAGTTGTATAAAATTGACTCACCCTTCTTTGTCTTCAGGTGAATCCCTTCACGCATAAACCACCTGGCGTAGCGTGCGTGCACCACGGCCTTGAAGTACCGGTTGATGGAGACATCCAAAGGTTGAATCTGGCTCGTGCAACGTGCTGGAATTACAGCAGGGGTGATGCTATGCGTACGGTAGGCTTGGAGCATGCCTTGGGTGATGTGGCCTCGGTAGGAGTCCAAAATCAGCATCGCACGCCTCGCGTTCTAGCCGCGCTGGGGGTTGAGATAGGGCAGCACCTCCTTGGTCAGCCAAGTCTGCACACCGCTCTCATCCATCCACCCGTTATCTTGTGCTTGGCACACGACTCCTGCCAGGCATAGAGGGGAGAGATGGGGGTCACACAAGAAGGGTAAGCTCTACAGTCTTGGAAAGAATTCGGCAGGCAGGACAAGAATGGCAAGCTCTGCAGGCAGAATTCAATTAGCTTATTGTCCGGAATGTCACACTTTGGCACGTTTTTCAGCTTGAACCACAACCACGGGCGCAACTTCTCCCTGGATGCGGTGCAGGTGAGCATCACCATCACCCGCATCTTCTCATATCCTGCCATGCAGATTGGGACTGAGCGCGCGCCACGGTGCTCGATCGTCCTCTCGGCCGGCATCTCAACGAAGAGAGGCGTCTGATCTGCATTGATGATGCGGGCCAGGTCGATGTTGTGTCTCGCCCTATTGATGCGCACGAACTTCCAGAACGGCTCGCAACACTTAGCGCACTCTGCGTAGGAAAAACACCGCACAGCAGGAGGGGATGGGTAGAAACATGAGGTGATTAGAGTTCTAGGAACATACAGTCAAGAATCAAGTGCTGATTCACTCCCTTACTCACTCACCTGCCGATAGCCGTTAGCCGACCTTGATCTTCACCCGCATGACCAATTTCCAGCGGTCACGGAACCGTTGGCTCCAGTGTGAGCTCGCATTCCAGTTCTTCCCAGAGTGGTGTTTCTTCATCCACTCGCAGCTCCACTTCTGAGTGTCTTTCACCGTGATCGCCACCCCATTCGCACGCTGTAGGCATATGTAGCGGTACAAAGCCGCCTCCATGTCGGGGTAGTGTGAGTGGTGGCCGGCCTCGTGCATCCGCTTGCGGTAGTTCGCCGCTCCCTTGTAAAGGCCCGCTACAGTCTCCGCGCTCCAGCGTCTGATGCAGGCGATGGACGATGTGGATTCCACGGAGGTCTTCTTGAAGGAGCCGAGCTCCTGGTAGCGGCGCGCCCACTTGAGTTTCTTGCGTACGGTCCATTCCCGCCTCGTTTTCTTAGTATCCTTGCTGCGAGGGGAAGGGGGACGGGAGTTGGGATAATGGAGGGTGGGGTCTTTTGGCTTCGCCTTCTCTGGGAAGGAAGGAATTGGGCCTGCAGCCGCCGTGTATTCATTGTCACTGCCGAGAACCTCGTTCACCAAGATGTTGTCCGAGTTTGGAGTCTTCTTCTTCTTCTTCTTCTTCTTCTTCTTCTTCTTCTTCTTCTTCTTCTTCTTCTTCTTCTTCTTCTTCTTCTTCTTCTTCTTCTTCTTCTTCTTCTTCTTCTTCTTCTTCTTCTTCTTCTTCTTCTTCTTCTTCTTCTTCTTCCTCTTCTTCTTCTTCTTCTTCTTCTTCTTCTTCTTCTTCTTCTTCTTCTTCTTCTTCTTCTTCTTCTTCTTCTTCTTCTTCTTCTTCTTCTTCTTCTTCTTCTTCTTCTTCTTCTTCTTCTTCTTAGCAGCACTTTTAGGATCCGGGTAGCCGTTGTTCTTCCGCTTCTTGTTGCTTGTGCGGCAACGTACAGTGGCCTTAGCAGGGGCCTCTACGACCTTGGCCTTTTCTTTGTCTACAGGAGTGAGGCGCGGTTGACGCTCCTCCCCCGAACTGTCGTCATCGGTGAGCACGATACCGGGTCGCTTCTTGGGATGAAGGCGATGACGGAGCCTCCGCTTCAGCAGTGGCACGTCGTCGTCTCCCATGATGCTCCACTTCTTCCCCGTCAAAGAAGACTGCATCAGCACCTCCCTTCGCAGCATCTGCATCTGCCTCCGCCTCCGCATCCGCACCCGCATTTGCCTCCACATCCACGGCAGCAACCGCATCCGCATCCGCTTCTGCCTCCGCTTTGGTCGTCGCTTCCGCTTCCGCTTCATCGTCTGCATCCGCAACCGCATCCGCATCCGCATCCACCGTCGCACCTGCAGACACATCTTCCGCCGTCGCCGCCGCAGGGGCTTGATCCGTTGCATGCGCCGCTGCCTCTGCATGCTCACCATCAGCATCCGCAGCTACGTTGTTGTCTGAGTCACCAGCCCGCCACTCTTCCACCTCGTCGTCCTTTCCAACCGGCTGATTCCACCAATCGTCGTCGTCGATGTCGCTAGCAAGGATTTCATCCCCCGACGCGCTGTCGTCGTGGCCGTTCTCCGGCCAATCCTCCTCGCCATCGTCACCGTTTTTCTTGGCCGTCCTCTTCGTCACAGCTCGCACCAGAGGCGGCGGTAGAGCATCCCGCCTTGCTCGTATCCTTTGCCATCGCTACACAGATATCATCACAGTCCGAGTTGATTCACCCGTAGTTGTTCACCTGGAAGTCAGGGTGAGAAGAGGCCGTGCCTACAGGGACTTTGCTGCGCATGGTTGAGCCTGCCAAGAGCAACCTTTGAGCTAATCTCAACCTTCTTGAGCACCAAATGAAGCTCAAGCTCGACTACCCCCCTAGCCAGATTGCCCCTTCCAAAGGCTCCCGAGCCACTCCTCTAGGAGGAATCTCCTCGTAGAGGACAGCACATGAAAGCCCTCACGCTGCCATCGTGCTACCAGCAGCGTTCTGGAACCATCCATGCACTGTTGGCAGCAAAACGACGCTGGCAGCATCATTGGATGCTGCCAACACGGAGGGATGTTGCCATAACAGGCAGCTTTGTTGCATCCCTCACGTGGCATGCGCTGGCCTCGCATGCATCACCACCGAGGCCAGCCAAATTCAATGAATCTGGCCCCTGTGTGGTTTCTGAACACTTTGCAAGTGTTGACTTATATGAGACCCTAAACCGTCCCAAATACAAGGCAACCAAGCATTTTTTCTAATGTATAGGATAAGACATATATGCCTTATATCCGGGAGATGACGGTATTAGGCTGTAGTGGGGGGGATAGCACTTCTAGGGTTTTTACCGTATCACCCCAGATATAAGCGCAGACCTAAGATAAGCGCATGTGCTTGTATCTGGATCTCGTCATGTACATCAACTTCGTGCGTCAGCTAGCTTCTCCGGAGCGCCATCGCCAGCTTGTCCTCACTGCCGTCCAGTGCGTTGCTGATGCCGCACGTCAGAAATGCCTTCTTGATGAGCTCCTCGGGCACGACCGCCGGAGGCGGTTTCTTGATGTTGCCTGAACGACAATTAAACAGAAGAGATGAGGTTAGAACTTTGCGACGGGGGAAACATTGGAAGTCATGGCTGGTGAAGACACTGTGATGCTCACCTGCCACGGTCAATGCATTCATGCCCTCTTGCTTGAACCAGTTGTGACACTGATGCCGCACCGATGCCTTAAAGCTTTGTTGATGGCCACATCGAGCTGCTGCACCTCTACCGTGCATCCCATTGGTATAACCACGGGGACGATGTTGTACTCCGCGAACTTTTTCTTGACTTCCTTCGTCAGATGGCCTCGATAGGAGTCGAGGACGAGCAGAGCGCTTCGCCCCTGCATGCCAAACTTCGGCTTGATCAAAGGCGCTACCGCCTTGTCGAGCCACTTGATGACGTTCTCCGCCGCCATCCATCTGTTCTCTTGAACGCCGACCACGACATCTGCAAAAATAAGAATGGTCGTCAGTGGGGTATATGCAAACACTATACGCACACACAACACATCTACATCCTTACCGTTCGGGAAGTCCCCCTTTGGCACGGTCTTGCGCTTGAAAAACACCCATGGCTGCAGCTTCTCCCCATTTTCCGTGCACGCCAGCATCACGGTGACGCATTCCTTTTGGTACCCGCCGCTGCGGATGGGGACCGACTTCACGCCTGTCTACTCCACTGTGGCTGTTGCCGGCATCTCCAACCACAGTGGTGTCTAGTCGGCGTTGATTATGTAGCGATTGTCGATCTCATACTCATGTCATGCTTCACGTACGAAAGTCCATAACTCCTTGCACTGCTTTGTGACGTTTGCGCAAGAGGATCAATGGCCAAGTCGGAAGGGCGGATTAGTTACTGCAGCTCACAGACAAAGGACGCAAAGACAACATGAAAACCGAACGTATTTAATGAATTTCAAATATGGTGCATGGCACTTGTCAGAACTAGCAGTCAGATTCAAGAATGAGAAAGGAGAGGAGTTGCACTAGCAGCAGTTGAGATACATATAGGAAACCCTAATTGGGTTGTACTCGCTATAGAGTACCCCACTGCAGGCTAGACAATTATAACATTCTGACAGCACTTACGTTTCTGTGTTTTCTGCGCCACCTTGGTTTTCATGTACACGGTTAGATTCCATCGCTGGCTGCCTTTCCACTTCACCTCCGAGAAGAGGACTTTCATCACCTCATGTGACCAATCTTGGAGACGGCCCACCGACACAGCAAGACCACGGCGCCGCCAGTCGAGGAGCTGCGCGTAGATCTTCATCTCCATCGGACGGTACCAAGAGGATCGTCCGCGTCCATGCAGTCGCTTCCGTGCGATATGGGCGTCCTTCAGCTCTTGCGCCTGCTTCTTCCACTCTGTCAAGTACTTGCGGTGGATACCAGACTCCCGCGCCACCTTGCTAATCGATGCTGCAAGCTCCAAGCGCACGAGCCACTTTAGCTTCTCCTGGGCGGTATACGAGGCACGCTTTTGTTGTGTCGGTTTATGCCTGGGGGAGGGGGGGCGGGCATCTTGGTTCTCAATAGAGGGGTGGGGACGTTTTTTGTTAATCGGAGGATATGTAGGAATCGGCATCGTCTCGCGCGGGGCATCGCGCCACCAAGTCTCAACGCCGTCGTCGTCCGCAGCGCTAGCAACGCCCTCTGGGAAGACGTCCGCCTCTGTGCCAGCCTCGCCGCCCGTTTCACCATTGCCATCCTGTTCGCCGTCGCCACGTGGCTGCTTGTCGGCAGGTACATCGTCATCGGCGCCCACAGTTGACTCATCCCACGCGCAGCCGTAGGGCTGTCCCCAATGTGGTTCCGGCGGCCCTGCTTCAACATACACATCGACGGGCTTGTCAGCCTCCGGCTCAGACAGCCACCCGTCGAACGTCACTGGCAACAAGAGCTGGAGCACGGGACGTTTGCCCCCGTTAGGAGAACCGGTACTCGTAAAAGGAGCAGGCCGATTCGGAGGAGCAGGAGAGGCGGGAGGAGCAGATGGAGCAGGTGGAGCTGGTGGAGCAGGTGGAGCAGGGGGAGCAGGCGGCGACGGAGGGCTGGGTGGGTAAGGAGGACCAGGAGGTTCACGGGTATACCATCCGTCTTCGGTTAATCGCCACGCATGTCTCGGTTTCTTCTTAAAAATGAAGTGGGTCTCAGAGAATTCCGCCATGGCTTCGCTAGCCAGAAAAACATAAAGAGGAGTTGCAGGAATGAGAAACGGAGGGGAGCCCTGCTGAGTTTGCGGCTCGGGGTCCTTGTCACGTGCAGGCGGGAAATCCCCGCCTAAATCCGCAGAGGACACTACATGGCAGCATAATCGCTGCGCTGACAAGCAATCTTCCGCACCCTTTGAGAGGGTTAAGATGAAATTCGCATGCGGCGCAGCGCATGGCGATGGGATTGGGCCGCACGGCAAGATTCGCGTCATCGCTGGCAGGTGCGATGCTTCTAGATGAAAGTGTGGGGTGGGAAACCGAGGCGCCTTGTTGTTTTCGCCTCAAATTCATGCACGACCCCACGTGATGCATGGTCGGCTGCATTCGCCGTACAGTGGGCTTCAATTTGGTAGAATTTAAAGTCAAATTCATTTTTTACTTATTACAACCGCATGCGCTTATGCCCGTTACTCATTTATAAGTGCACCCCCCTATAAATCAATGTTTTATTATAAGTGCAGCTGCGCTTATATCCGAGGTGATACGGTACTTGTATCACCCAACCCTTCCTACAGTAATCTAATCATTTTTCCAACTATTTTAGTTTCGAAAAAAGAGGTGGCTTGATAAGGGGCCGTAGGAGCACATGCTAAGACAATAACATAACATTGTACAGTAACCTATATGACCACAACACGCAATACCATCATGATGACCCATTTAGAAACCCACAAATAAAAAACCCAGTGTGTAAACTCTTTCAGCATCCATGGCTCGAGGTTTGAGGTGTTGCTACTCTGCCTAGCCTATCGGCCCCTTTGCTGGTGCTCCTCCCCCTCCTACCCCAAACGGAGAAGAGTCGCGGAACAATTCAAAGCAAAGGTCAGCAAAGGTCACTGGTGGGTTTTTGCTCAAGGTGGATGGGGAAATATCAAGGAACCAGGATGGCATGACGTGGCATGTGGTGAACTGCAGGGGGTTGGGGAGAATGAAAAGCAGCTCACCCTATTTTCCCACTCCATCGTACCCTAGTAACGTCGCGCTGGGGGGGGTGATGGCATGCACTTGTTGTTCTTCCTCCTCACGTATACAGTCTTGCAACGACACGCAGGCTTGTTGTTCACCAATGCATACTCAGCATTGCGAGGGCAGGCACGCTTGCACACGACTGCCAACGGGGAACAGGAGCGCACGGCAGGGAGGGCTGGAGTACGGCAGGGAGGGCTGGAGTACGGCAGGGAGGGGTTAGAAATTATGAGTACGGTGAAGAAGGAAGAAGAGGGAGTACGGCAGGGAGGGGTGGACGAGGGTGAAAAGGAAGTGGGAGCAGAAGCAAGAGGGAGAGAAAGAAGATGGGGAGGCGTGGGAAGACGAAGAAAAGCAAAAGTACAAGACATGAGGGAGGAAAGGAGGAGTGAAAGACGGAAGAGGGAGAGCAGGAAGAGGGAGAGAAGGACGAGGGAGAGAAGAGAGAGAGAAGGAAAAG